CCCTCTGGGAGCGGGGGACAGCCCGAGGGGCAGCGGAGCGGGGTCGGGGGCGATGCCACGGGGATGCTGAGAGGGAGCTGGAGGTGATGGGAAGGGGAGAGAGAGCTACAGGATGGTCTTGTCCAGGTCGACTTTGAGGGGCAGCGGCCCCGCGTCCTCCCCGCCGTGCGCAGGGCACAGGGTGACAGTGATGACGGGCGGCAGGGGGAAGGTGCCGGGGCCATCCAGGTCCTCCAGGTACTCCTTGTCCCCGTTGATGCTCAGAGGCTGGAAGAAAGGCAGAGACAACAGTGCAGCCCCAGAACGGGGGTGCAGGACCCGCTCACCCCCAGTTTGGGGACACGCGGGGTGCGGGGGTGTCCCCCCAGCCGTGCCGGGTGTCCCTGGGGGCCGCGCTCACCCCATACCTGGGTCTTGACGTGCTGCTCGGGAGCGGTCACCAGGCTGGCACAGCTGAGCCACAGCATCACCATGATGGAGAGGAAGAGGCAGGCGGCCAGGATCCAGCGAGGAAGGCCCGAGCGCCTGTAGCACCCCACCACCCCCCGCCAAAGAGAAGGGACGGGTTTATGGCAGGGCACGGGCTGGAAATTGGGGCTGGGGGGGATCCGCTCTGCCGAGTCCCGCAGGTCCCAGACCACCTACTTGGACATGCAGCCGAGGAAGTCGTGCTCCTGCTGCGGGGGCTCCGGGGGGTGCGCCTTGCCTTTGCCCCGCGGCTCCTTCACGGGGGGCTTGTCCCCCTTTGCCCGGGGGCCTGGGGGGAAAGAGGCGATGCTGAACCCATGTGGGGGCACCCTCCCCTCTCCCATCCTCCTGCCCCCTCTCCCCCGGGACCCTCTGCCCGCTCAGGGGGCTCAGAGGATCCCAGCAGGGCCCCACACAGAACCCCCCACCCTCATGGTTGGGGGTGTGGGAAGCTGATCAGACCCGAGGAGTGGGAAATTTGTTCAGCTCTGGAGAACTCGGATGGGAGCCAGGAGGGCTCGGAGGCTCCAAGACCCCCTCCCAGCAGCCCGGACCCCCCCTGGCACCTGCGTGGGGCTGGGGGAGGCCAGGGCTGGGTCCCGATCCCGGCTGGGCTGGCTGGATCTCCAGTGCCTCGAGTGCTGGGTACTCCATCTCAGGCTGGGACTGGGTCGGCAGGGAAAGAGGGAGAGGGAAGTGAGGAAGGGGGTCCCCACCCCTCTGGGCACCCACAGAGAGGGTCCTGGGGACGCCCCCACCTGAAACACCACGACTTTGCCATCGTCTGCCTGCAGGTAGAAGGTCCAGGTGGAGGAGATGAAGCTCTGGGCAGAGCTGACAATGTCGTTGCAGAAGGTGGAGACCAAATCCAAGATGGAAAAGGACGGCGCTTTCAGCTCCGGGCTCTGCAGAGGAGCGGGGACATCGCATCAGCGCTGTCCCCTCGTCACCCACCCCCGCGGGCACCGTCCCACCCCGAGGCTGGGCTGAGCCGGGTCTGGGCTCAACCTGCTCCTCCCAGAGATGGAAAGGGATGTGCCAGGGCCACGGTCCAGTCCCGGGAGGGTCACCAAGCGAGGGCTGTGGTCCCTGGGGTGCCCACCCGGCTCTGGGGCCATCACCCAGCCCCAGGACCGTCCCTTTGGGGTGGGATCACCCTCCTCTGCCAGAGACAAAGGGAGCGGAGCAGCCGCGATGCCGAGGGCGTTCCTCTGCTGGCAGCCTCTCGGTGCCCTGGATTCTTGGCCGTCGCGGCAGTTTGTTATTTTTAAAGCATCCCTGCTGGAATCCGCTTGGCTGCTCCCTGCCACTGGCTCCGAACATTTTCCGACAGCCCCTTGCACGGTCAAACCAGCAAACAGGAAATAAATAGGTCAGATTCTGTATCTAATTATTATGCTAAATCTGCTTTGCCTGCTCGTCTGGGAACCCGAGGAAAAATGCTTTGGGTGGGTGGAGAAGGGTGAGGGCCCTCCCTGTCACCCCCAGTCACCCCCAGACACTCATCCCTGGCCTTGGAGAGGGGCTGGGAAACGGGATCAGGCACCGGGAAGGTTTTAAAACCGGGCTGCAAAGGAGGGTTGTTCAAAGGAGCTTTTCACTCTTTTTACGGTGTGTATTCATCTTTGCCTGCACATGCACGAAGCCAAAAGCCTCTTCCTTGGGCCAAAGTCTAATTTAATTAATTCGGAAAAAACTGAATTAATTAAATGTAGGAGGGAAAAGCGTTGCTAATTGCTGGGAAGGATAACAAATCAAAGCTGGGGGAATCTGCCACGATCCCCAGTCAGATCCTCTCAGCCTGGGAATTCCCTGTGGTCTCTCTGATTTTCACACTTGTGACAAAGCAGCCGGTGGTGGCCTGGATCAACCTGGCACATCTGGAGCTCCCATCCATGTGGAGGGAGGGATGATGGATGGATGATGGATGATGGATGGATGGATGATGGATGATGGATGGATGGATGGATGGATGGATGATGGATGGATGGATGGATGGATGATGGATGATGGATGGATGGATGATGGATGGATGATGGATGGATGATGGATGGATGGATGGATGATGGATGGATGGATGGATGGATGATGGATGGATGGATGGATGGATGGATGATGGATGGATGGATGGATGGATGATGGATGGATGGATGGATGGATGGATGGATGGATGGATGATGGATGGATGGATGGATGGATGATGGATGGATGGATGGATGGATGATGGATGGATGATGGATGGATGGATGGATGGATGGATGGATGGGCTGCACATGTGGGGTGTTCCCCCATCCCGAGGGAGGGGAGGGACTGCTCTGAGCTCCTGTGTGAAGAAGGGCTTCCCCATCTCCTTCACCTTCTCCTTCCTGCTCTCCTCCACCTCTGGCAGCTGCTTGCGGCACCCGGTCACGCACCCAAACTGCTCCTCTGCGTTGCCGTAGGCTTCGGCACAGGCTGGGAGAGAGGAGAGGTCAGGGTTCGGGGGTGCTCGATGCCCGGGACCCCCGCCCCCCTCCCCACTGACACCCGGGCCGTGTCAATCCGCAGCCGCTT